GTTGTCCTGGATGATTTTGAGGTAACAGTCCAAGTCCTAATTTAAATAAAATAAAAAAATCCCTGCCAGGAGAGTCTGGCTTTTCCAGACTTGAAAGGAGTACCATACAGCTACTGGAAATCCAGGGCAGCCCGGTGGTCTCTGGCTGCTTATTCAGAATTGTTAAGGTCAGCTCTTGTGTGTTTGGAGTGCTTTAGGCTTTCTGAAAACACCTTAGGTCCCATCACTCCTCATCCTGTGAAGCAGGGAGGATGGGTGGAGGAGGGTAGAACTAGGCATCTCAGCTCCTGCATGAGGGGCTGTGTGAGGGGACTGGTCTCCCTGAGCACCAGCCTGGGCCTCTCCCAGAACTGGTGTTCCTTACACCATATTTGGGGCTTGCACAGGTCTGTTGCACAGGTCTGTCAGGTCTGTGGGAGCTGCCATGGCCTCAGGGATCCCACGGTCTGCATATTGCCCCCACCAGCTGTGGAGGAGGGAGAGTTTCCTGAACCCATCTTGGTCTTACATATTTCTCTCCCTCTGCAGTGTTGAACCCTCAGTCAGAAGCACCCTTTCCTCCTGTGCCTCTCCCTGGCCACTCATGTGTGTTTAAGACAGCATCTCAGGGAAGCCTCCCTGGACCACCTAGGCTGGGTGCCAGGCTAAGACCTTCTGCTCCCTGTGGTTCTCTGCGTGGCTCTCCTGCTCTGATTGCCATTTTAGGTAATGTAAGTCTGTCTCTGGTATACAGGGAGGGGCTTGCTGTTGGTATGACTGGAGCCTGTTTTCTGACGCTCTTCTGCTTGCTTCTTCTCTTGCAGGGGACTTCAACTGGTCTCTCTCCTCCTCCATTCTACACCCCAAGGCAAGGACCCCTGTGCTGGGCCCTTGAGGCACTAGGACACCCCTGCATTAATCTAGTGTCTTGGAACTAGATGAGGCTGGTGTGACTCTGTCAGTTTACCACTACCTGCACCAGCACAGTAGGAGAGGGAAGTTTCTGGAGAAGAAGGGAGGTGGGCACTGGGGAGGCAAGGTTTGGCTGACAGGAGGAGAAGGCGGATCATTAAAAGAGGGTGAGGTGATGGAAGAGTCCCCACTCCATAGTGTTATGCTGCGGACACATCTCAGGGCTGGCAGTTCCATCCAGTTCCTAGTAGGAAGCAGGTGTCACAGTCTCATTAGAATACTATTTGGATGTTTTAATAATGGAACCATTTACAAAGGCATGGGTGTGGGGAAACCACAGAGATCGCCTAGTCTTCCAGGGCCTCAGAACTGTGGAGCTGTTATCACCCCAGGTCAGAAGGGATCAGGGAGGGAGAGATACCAGAGCCTGAAGATGAGCGAGAGCCTTCTGACTGGAGCTGCGACTTTGGTTCATTTGAAGGACATGCCCGGCCGGCCTTGTCCCTGTGGACCAGAAGTAGGGAGTTCCACCTTGATCTCCTGTCTGCTTGCCTCCATACCTCTGACCTCCTGTTGGGATCACCCATAGGCTGGACCAGC